AAGGAACTATTTTATGACACGTTTCACCATGAACTGTTTGGTCCCAGTCAAAATACAAGAAGCAATGGAAGATGCAGGATCATGTTTCATTAATCTGGTAGATGTTCTAAAGTTAAAATCCTCCACCTGTAGGTAGTGTTGTCATTTTTTAAGATGTCTGGGTATTAAAGTGGTAGGTATAGATTGTTAGTTGAGTAATGTAGCCCCTTTTTGTAACAAAGTGCACTCCAAAGTATGATTCATCAAAGTACAGTAGAAGCCGCTTATTTGAAAAGCCAATTTGTCAGCACATTTTTTTCAAATACCCGGCCTTTCCGATTAAGAGACTCTGAGGCTCAAACTCTCGGCCTTCATTGAAACTATGGGGGTGGGGGGTGGACAGGGCATCGAACACATAACGACACAAAGAATACAAACACGAGTCACATTTACGCATTAAAAACAGTGAACTTTATTGAGATCGGTAAATTTGCTTTTAATTTTTTTTCGTTGACGTACACATTTATTTTTTTCGTTTTTTCCAAGACTGGAAGAACGCCGCGATACGTTAGACATCATGTGCTATCGGCAGGCTCTACTCGAACGAATAAACAATGCTACGTTTGCTACGTACAAAACAAGCAACGAATACATGCACAATCATCAGTCTGTACGTACTTTTACATCACGAAAGTAGCAAAAAATAAAGTTTGATTAACGGAAAACTTCAATCAAGTAGCGTACAGACAAAAATGCAGACGATCGTCATGAAAGCAGTCGATAGCACAAAGGATCGCTTCGATCGCTTAATTTTCAGAAACTCCGGCTAGCACACGAAAATTATCGTAACTAATGCAACAATAAACTGTTCATTTCAATGTTAATGACTTTTTAGCTCACGATGTCCGTAGGTTACATGGAAATTTGCGATAGTTGACGGGGATCTCTCGCATTAGCGTTCAGGGAAGTAAACAAAGATGGCGGGCGCGGCGTGGGTAGCAGTATCCCATCATTCCATGCGGTGTTTTTTCGCGGCACCTTTGGCGTGTTGAAGCGGCGATAGCGCCGTGTCGCAGTCGAAATAAACTCAAAATAATGGCGCAGTACACAAGTAGAGACATGGTTCTGATGATTAAAAAATGAGTTGTATGAGAAATTAAACGTTCTTGGAATAAACAGGATAAAAGAACACAAAAGCATGCCGCATTTGGCGGCTATGAACCGGCTCGCGCTTCTCATTACGTAGTGCCGATGTGCGCCCGACCGCTCGATCAACGTAAATTTCGGCCTCCTTTGTGGTTCAAAACAGACAACATCGTCCCTTTTGGCGGCTTGATGTCTTGATATAAGATATTTTCCGCCGATTTTGGTGATTTGTTTGGCATGTTTTTGGTTGAAAATGTGTTGCAACTTGAAATTTTTTTTTTTCAATTAGCCGGCATTGGCTTTTCAAATAAGAGGCGTGATAAACAATGGTGTCAATGGGAAACGGTTTGGGTTTTCACAATTCTTTTCAATTAGCAGACTTTTTCTTATAAGCGTTTTGCAATTAACTGGCTGCCACTGTACTGAACCAGGGATAATGGAAAAAGTAAGTATGCAGGGATGATTGGGTTTTGGAACATAATTGCCTCCATAATTGTATAACCTGTTGTTCAATACAATGACACATTCCTTGGGACTACTGTGCCACAATATGTCAAGCTCGTGGCAAGAAAGGCTTTGCAAGATTTTACTTGTATCCAAAACTGTACTGCAGCACCAGCTTAAAATAAAACAGCAGGGCAGACTCCACTGAGGGTCCTTGTGGCTCCCAATATGCAGAATTGCAGTATATCCTCTGCACTGCTTTATCGAGCAGAGACTAGTGGCCAGGCCCACCAACACAGTGTCTTAGCCCAGAAGAGATTACTTTTTGTGGGAGTGGAAGGATTGTAAGCAGTATAGGAAATTGGTTCAAGTCCCTCATCTCATTTTCTTTTTTAGATCCCCATTTTTCTCCATTCTGCTTTTGTATGCAAGATGTACATGTATAATCATGCATCAGTTACGTGCACCAGGGCTGACTTGTCAGCATGGCACATGGATTTCAGATGGTGACTTACAGAAATGCACAAGCTGTTATTTGTTTCACTCAACTTGATATGATAATGTTATTGATTGAAGCAATGCCTTTACACAAACAACCATAAATATATACATAAGTCATGATTCAAACCTGACAGGAATAGAAAGACATACAAAAGAGATCTTGTAAAAATGTAGATGTATTTTCACTCTATGTACAAGGTACTCGAGTAACAGTGTACGAACTGTTGTAATATAAACCCAACATGCTCTAATACACTCAATAGAAATCATTAGGATTACAACATATTTCCTGAGAAGAAACCATTCAATAACACACCTATTAAC